TGAGCTCCAAGATCGCGTCATGGTGTCATTGCGGTATTATGGGTGGCCTAAGGATATTTCCGCGGCGATCGCGGTCGCCTCGTGCGAGCACGTGCAGGCCGCGCGAATGGCGTCGGACTTACGCGCGCTCATGCGGGACGATTGCGCCGTGCGGATTCTGAGATGGCCCTTTTTAATCAGACATATTGATGAGTCGAAGCCCGGGGATGTGTGTACGTGCGCAACTTAGATCGCGTCTTACACGTGTCCCCGCGCGACGTTCACCGAGCCCGGCATCCGACCGCCTAATCACTCTGTGAGATTCTGAGTTATGCAAGATGCAACGATCACAAAACAGCTCGATCCCGAGGCAAGCAAACACACGGACAAGACCATCATTTGCACAAAATTCCTAGTCTATGCATGAGCGCCTCGAAGATGACAAACAAAACCAAGGACAAGGATTCTCAGCAAAAAGATAGACAAGCAAGCATAGCATCCATACATCCATACATTCAGCAATCATACACGTAATGCAATCAAGACGGACATCGCAAGGACAAGTGTGAGCAAAACCCAAATCCAGATTTCGGAAAGGCAAAACGGAAACAAGAACGGGTAAACCGCCCGGAGCCGCAATCAAAATTTATATACACAGATAGAGAGGGGGAAGAGAGAAAGAAACAACAAATCCGCGTCCATCAACCTCAACTCTCTCCTCCTCTCTCCCTCTCTCTTCTCCGATGCGGACAGTCCGTCGTCACGCACCAACCCACGAAGTCGTCACCTCGCTTAGTCCTCCCGCACCCGTAAGATTCGCTCGTGCCCACAGTCCGTCGTGACCCACGTCAATCCCGCGCGTTTGGCACCAGCCCATCGGGTTGCCCAACTCCTACTCTACTCACCTCTTACTTCGCTCGTGTGCCGATCCTTCCTGATCGCACAACCTCGAGCTTCCAGCAACGGGTTAAGAGAGCTAACTAATCGCGCAGTCGGAATTTATAGCGTGTATGCATGCGCGAAGAACACGGAATTACAAGGACTTAGAAGAAGGGAAGGGGGAGGAGTTTGCCTGCGTTTCCATGGTCGGCTCACGGTGTGGGGGACGTAGCCGCTCTCCACGCATTGATTCGATCATGCAGACCGCGGCTACCAAAAACGCAGCGGAAGAAAGAGAAGGAGGGCGGGAAAGACAAGGTGCAAGAATAAAAATACAGTTACAATGGCGCCCGCCCAAAATTACGGTTACACACACGATTAAGGGCGCCCATTAATCAGAGTACCGTTGCAGCCGCATGAAGAAGCGCGTAGACAAAAGGCGCCGCACGGCAAGAAAAATCGTAATTACCGAATTCCTAAACTCCTATCTAATGTGAAGAAGCAAAAAGCACGAAGTTCAGGGGAAAGTCCGAAATTCCGAGAGCCATCGGGGCTCGACAAAATTCGAAAAAAACTCAAAAGAAAATTCAAAAAGAACGAAGTCAATTCCCGCGCGATGTCTGCGCCCAAAAGATCGAAACCGAAACGAAAGATACGATGTCCACATTTATTAATCTCGCGCGCGGTGGCGCGCTAGCCATGTAGTCGACCAATCAATCAACCGACCATCCCAGGACATACCCAGCTTCGAACCCAACCATTCGAACAGAAGCGACGATAAAGACGAAAAAGCAAGGACCCTAATGCAATTTTCCACCGATCCCGATCTCCCGTAATTGGCCCACCCTTCCCAACTTAGGACCCCTCGTTGCAACCGCGCAGAAAGTCGCGCATTATAGAAAGTGGTTCGTCACAGCCACAATAATTGACGAGGACTGCCAGTTCTAATGCCTCTGGTGACTCAACTCTGTCCCAACTTTGCTCTTTTTTTAACTTCATTGTAGATAAAACTGATGTAGTGGGGCAGATAATGAGCTGCCTCTTTTTCCTTGTGCAGCTGGGCTGTTGGACGACTCCAGAGAAAGACCAAAACTCCACAAGTGGGGCATGGCCCCTGGAATGGGAATTGTTTGGGGGTATATGAACGGCGACCGTATCGTGTACTATGCAATTTGGAGGCCTCAACAGAGTTATGTATGTATCGTGTGATTGCTTTTCTTCCTTTTGACTAGTGTTTTTTTCCCCAAAAAGGTTTTCGTTGAAGGAACGATGGAATCATTATAAAACGATGCCTCCATATGCAGGCAGACCCTACTCATGCCAGGACTTTTCCGGATGTGTCTGACAACAACTTTAGGTGGCCCTCGGTGTATCTGGCCACAACCGCGTCCAGAGCATCAACACCCATCTCCAGCAGCTACACCATCCTTTGCATAGAAGCCGAACGTACAGTTGATATAGGGTCCTGAGACTCCTCACTCCACTAAATAGCAATTTTGTCAAAACAAACATATTTTAATTTTTTCATCGAAATTGAAACCTTATAAATTGGCCCGATTTAGGTCGATATTTCACGTCCACAGCATCAACACCCATCTCCAGCAACTACCTCCATCCTCTGCATAGAAGACTGAACGTACAGTTGGTATAGGGTCCTAAGACTCCTCACTCCACTTAGGTCCACTGTGACACAAAAAATCTTTATGTACTACATGAAGGTCATAATCATCCAAATACATTCAAAATGTTGGACTCCTCCAAATGCTCCTGGTCTAGAAAGGCCTCCAAATGGATGTAGAGAGTTGAGTAGTGGAGGGACGTGATGCTCCAACCTCACGCCCTACACTGGTTTCCTTCACGGAGTCCTTTGGAGGCATCGATGGGTTCTGATCTTATAGGGAGCGCGTATGGGGAAGGGGGAATCCATGGACGCAATCAAAAGTATCATCGAGACATAGATTAGGGCCCAATGGAGGAACTCAAAGAAATACAAAGAATGAAGGGCCTTTCCAAAAAAATCAACATCGCTTAGTGCATTAATGCCTTCTGCATGGCCTGTCTGGGGGAGGAATGGGGGGGAAAGATAGGGCAGGGTACACTGGGAGGGCTGGCGGCTGGAGGATCAGCAGCGGCTCCCAGTCGCCCCAAAACAGTATTGGGTAGTCTTCAGAGATTGGACTGCAATCAGAGTTAACATCTTGCTTCCCCCCTCCTCCGATTTCCCAGATTTATTCCCTTTCTCGATGAACACCCTGATGGAACCGGATTGGTTCCCCGCCCCCCCGCCTCCCCCTGCAAAAATGGCCAGGGGGAGGCTGGATAAGAGTCGTGGAATGGGAAAGCAGTTAGGGAACCAGCCTCCGGTCACCCCCGCAAAGCTGGCACCTGGCTGCAAGAGCCCTGCCCTCACTCTGCCCAACCCCGTTCCAGGCTAGCTAATGGGGCCAGCCCCTCGACCATCAGTTTATGCCCAGTCTGTTAGCTCGCATTATCTCTCAGCTTGCTTGTGGTTTCACCTTTTTTTTTTTTTTTTTTTTAAGATACGGGCCGAGTGCCGAAGGCTTTTATTGCTCAATGATCAATAAACGAGGCCGGGGTCCTCACAGTCTACCCGGGGTCCACAGAACTCTAGCAGCCTTAGCCTGCTTCGGTTATACAGAGCTGCACCTGCTGGAAACCGGGTCCAGCGTCCCATATACAGAATAAATAAGCAATAGTTGGTACCTCTTCACCCCCCTTACAGGGGCGCCAGATATTCCTTTTGCGAGGAACATGAATATGGACGAAGCACATAAATCCAGAATGCAAAATCACACTGAAGTCCAAGTAGTCAAAGCCAGAGCAGATAGCACAATGGAACCGAGTAACCATCCAATTGAGAATGATACAGAAGAATCGTGAGTCACTGTCCATGCCCAACAGGGCAACACCAACAGCATAACCCAATGTAGCTCTCTCTTATGAATGGCGCCAGGCGCCCTATCTACTCTACAGACTAAGCCTACAACTGCAGCAATGAAAGCAACTAGACAACTTGACTACCAGCGAGTGATGATGTCAATACCAAGGCCGACCTCCACCTCTACCAGGTACGTGTCATCTTCACCCACACTCCCCCTTGTCACCCACACAACGCCCTTCATCTTCAAAGAACCATCTTCGCCCTCACCTTCCCTGCGCCCCATGCAGCCCGGCTATGGCCGCCAGCGCACTGTGCACAGACAGCGCCCTACCGCCTAGCGCCTGCCTGTCTTGCACCGCATCCTAGCGCAGCGCAGCAGCAGCTCGCATTCGTGCAGCGTGCCGACAATGCTCGCATTTGCCAAGATACCTGCCCACTCGCCCTGCTTGCCTATATGCCAGTGCTGTGTGTGGGCGGCCTCCCTTCAACCTGCGACCGGGCCCCAGTTCTTGAACCCACGCCCGATGCAGTTGGGGCCCGGGTAATGCAGTTGCCCCTCTTTTGTCAAGGCCTGCGGCCAGATTCAGATAGTGGGCCGATTTCCCTTTGGCATTTTCGGCCTCTATACCCAACGTGCATTGTCGGCCTCACGTTGAGGTGCCCAGGGCCTAACTAACTCAGAGGCCCTGGGTTCTCCACATTTGCAAAGATTCGAGACTCGGTGCACTCCAACCAACTGGCGTGCTGCAACTGTATGGACCCCACTTCGAGAAATGTTTGCATAGAGGGCTTTTGTTGATTTGCTTGCCCGCCTTCACTTAGGGCGGGCACTAGGCTTGCTGGGCCTTAGCCCAGAACATGTACATCATGGCAAGGCCCCTTCTTGATGGCTCAATCCTCACATTCCATCCCCCTTAGCTTCAAAAGTCCGCTGATATGCTTACTTCGCAGGTGCCTTCCCTTTCAGTAGTCTCTCGTATTCTGCCACCACCTGAGGAGCTGTCTCAATCAGTTCCTCTCTAATAAACCACCGATCTTCTTTTGGATTCGTATGATGCCTGAATCCGATGCGATACTCTCTCTTGGGTTTAGGAGGTCTTCCTCGACCCAACGACTTCGGAACAGGACTATCCCTGTGATCCACAATGTTGTCGATGTCCACTTGACCATCCATGGTTGGGGGCAGCATCGATCTCCTGGAAGAAAATTGATCTGTCTCAGCGAAAGGTGCAAGCTTTAAGGCATGAAAGACTGGGTGAATGCGTAGGTGTCCACGAACAGGAATTATATATGTGGGGCCATCCATCTCATCTCCCACTATATCCAGGACTTCCCAGGGACCAAAGTACTGAGGCATTAGTTTGCGAGAGATTCCGAACTCCTGTCCTAACTCACTAGCCTTGACCCAGACACGTTCCCCTACCTGAAATGTGGACTGTCTACGATGTTGATTCTCAGAAGCAATCATTGCTTGCTGAGCTTTCTTCATGTGCTCGACAACTTCTTGCAGCAACTTCTCATACTGCACAGCATATTCAAGTGTGCCTGGAGTTGCAGCGGGTCGGTTTTCAGGTAGGAGGAAGTCTAATGCTGATCTAGGCTTACATCCCAAGTAAAGTTGATTAGGACTAACGTCGGTACTGCTGTGGACAACATTGTTGTACAAGCTGGCGATGAGAGGCAACTGCTCATCCCAATCATCCTGGCTGGGCTTGATGTAATGCCTCAGCAAGTGTTGTACAACTCTGTTCATTTGCTCAGCTTGCCCGTTGGCTTCGGGATGATTCCCTGAAGTCATATGAAGTTGACTGCCCATCTGTTCTGCAGTCTTCTTCCACAACTCAACTGTGAATCGGACATCTCGGTCACTAACGATTGACTTTGGTAAACCAAAGTCGCTCACCCAGTTGTCTTTGAACAACTTGATGACATAGTCAGTTCTTGCGGTCTATGGCATAGCCACTAGTCTAGCGTACTTGGTGAATCGATCGATGATGACGAAGATATGCCTCTTGCCACTCTTACTAGTCGCCAGGGTGTCCATGAAATCCATGGAAACACTCTGTCCTGGACCAGCAGGAATAGGCAAAGGCTTCAACAACCCAAGCGGTGCTTGAGTTTGTGGTTTGTCCCGCTGACAGACCTGACAGGTCTCTACGTACTTCTTTGCGTCATCTAACATTCCTGGCCACCAAAATCGTTGTACTAGGTTAGCACTTGTCTTCTTGTAGCCGAAGTGTCCCGTTGCGTCATGGCATTCTCCTAAGAACAAACTACGCAAGGGTTCACTAGATGGAACTACTAATCATTTTATTCCTTCCTTATCAAGATAGAGGAGCCCGTCCATCATCATAAACTCACTTTCTGTGACCTTGTTTTTTGCCTGAAGTTTGCGAATGATGTCCATCGTGATAGGGTCTTCCTGCTAGGCTCCCACCAACGATTGAGTTACTTTATCAGATACGCCAAAGTCAGAAACTAGCTCACCTAGGTAGTCTGCTCTACGTGATAGGCATCAACAACCTTATTATACTCCCGCTTCAGATACTCAAGCTTGAAGTCATACTGGTCTATGACCTCAATCCATCGCTTGAGTGCATCAGAAAAAGTCGGTTGAGTCTTGATCCATTTGAGAGTATGATGATCAGTCCTCAAGTAGAAGAACCTTCCCAATAGGAAGTGTCTCCAATGGACAAGTGCTTTATATAGAGCATAGAGTTCCCTTTCATAGGTGGACTTCGCCAACTTCTTTGATTGCATCTTCTTGCTCATATACTCAATCGGTCTCAACTTTTTCCCATCCTGTTGAGCCAACACTGCGCCAGCGTCGTATTGGCTTGCGTCAGTGGTCACTATGAATGACTTCTGAGGATCGGGAACCATGAGAACCTCATGATTCATGAGTGCATGCTTCAATCTCTTGAAAGCACCCTCGCACTCATCACTCCAGTCCCATGGCGTGTCAAGTCGAGTTAGATTAGTCAAAGGAGAGGCGACTGTAGAATAGTTTTTTACAAAGTTCCTATAGTAGCCGCACATCCCTAAGAAAGATCTGACCTCAGTGACGGTCTGAGGTCGTGGCCAGTCTCGAATACTAGCCACCTTCGCATCGTCCGACATAATCCCTTCCGCGGATACTTCATGACCCAAGTATAGTATCTTAGTGTGACCGAACTCACACTTCTCTAAGTTGACCTTATACTTGTGTTGTCGCAGGAGAGAGAGTACAGTCTCAACGTGCTTTGCATGCTCCTCGGCAGACTTGCTAAAGATTAGAATGTTGTCAAGGTATACCACGACAAACTTATCTAAATGTTCATGGAAGATTCGATTCATAGCATGCTGGAATATACCCGACGCATTGCAAAGACCAAAGGGGATCACTACAAACTCATGCAGACCGTATCTGGTCTGAAAGGCTGTCTTGTGTTGGCCCTCAAGTCTTATTGCGATCTGATGATATCCGGATTTCAAGTCTATCTTACTATAGTACTTGCATCCCTGCACCCTATCCAATAGGTCGTCTATGTGAGGTGGAGGCTCTCCGTTCTTCCCTGTGATGGCATTGAGGCCTCTATAGTCAATGCACATCCTCAAAGTACCCCCCTTCTTCGGTATGAATAGAACGGGTGATCCGTAAGGGGAAGTACTAGGCCGAATCCATCCCTTCTATGTCAGCTCCTTAAGCTGTCGCCGAAACTCATCTAACTCGGCGGGAGCCATCCTATAGATCCTTCCCTTTGGGGTCTTACTCCCTGGAATGAGTTCTATAGCGTGGACAACTTCCCTTTTAACAACTCCTGTGGGCTCTTCGAACAAATCAGGGAACTTAGCAACGACGTGTTTTATCTCTGGGGGTGTTTTAACGGCCTCCCCTTTCTCAGAGACATATACAAGGTACATACCTTCCTATTGGTTTTGCTTATAGAAATTGTAGAACGTTGATGCACACAAGCAGCCATAGGTATCTATAATACTACTGGCCTTGAACTTAGTCAATCTGACAGTTCGGCCATCGGGCAACTTATGCTTGAGCACCTTCTTATCCCAGTCAAACTGGGGCTTAGCAACTTGGAGGTAGTACATGCCTAACAACATGTCGAATGGTAAGTCGTCACTAACCAAGAACGAAATCTTATGGTTAAACTCTCCTCCTCCATAGGAGAAGGTACAGACTACGTCCTTGATATAGTCTGTTACTATCATGCGCTCCTTGTTGGCCAAAGTAGATGCTACATGTGTACTAAGGTGCCGTACCCGGTCCTGTAGGTGCAGCCTTTCCAAACAGTCGCGACTTATGTAATTTCACGTGGAGCCTATGTCTATGAAGGCACCACATTTGCGGCCTCCTACATCGACTTCCACCACGAAATATTCCCTTCTAGGACCTTTCCTTAGCGCCACCCAAGACTCACGAGGGTCCTTGTTTGACCACTCACTCTCCAAGTCTTCTAAGGCATCAGACACATCTAACGTACAACGCATAGTTTGGTCTAGATGAGTTTGCGGGGTGACTAAAGAGTCATTAACTTTGACCTGCTCTTGAAGTAGGGAGGGTATCGGGCCCACTTCATCTTGAGTAGAACCAACTAAAACTTTCACCTGCCTCATTGGTTTCCCGAGCTAGAAACCTGGGAAGAATATGCTCCCATCTTAGGAGGTACCTTCTGCGTGACCTTAGCGTTCTGGCACTTATACTGGGTGTGCCCGTATTCAGCGCAGTTGATACAAGCACCACGCACTCGGCGGTCCCGCCACACTTCTTGATCAAGACCTGCCTTCACTCAATCAGCCTACTTGGTCTGATTGGAGGCGGTCTTCCCTTGACTCCTTGGTTGGCCCTTCCCTCGGCCACCTGCCTTAGCCTTTACGACCGCAGCGAGGGTGCCACCTTCAGCTACCTCCTCGCCGTCAAACTGTGTATAGTCCATCAGGTCAGTGATCTCGCCGATCTCAGTTTGAGTCCCATCGGATTCCACCATCATCAACTTAGCCCCCTTCTTCTTCCATTCCTGATGACTCTTCTTCTTCTTCGTGTCATTCTGAGTAGGTTGAGCATTGCCTAGTGTGGTCTCCAAATCTAAGGCTTTCCTAGACAACGTCTCAAACAAATGGTATTCGGTGCGTGCCTCGCTGACCAGCAAGTTCCTGATGCTCTCTGGAAGACATCTAACAAACGTTGTTAACAGGAACTGGTCACTGTAGTTGATGCCAGGAACGAGGATCAGACTCTCAACGGTAGTCGTAAGCTCTCTAACCAACTTGAATTTTTGTTGTTGTAACTTGTTAATCGCATCAGTGGCTCTTTGTGCCTCACGTGGATTATGCCATCGAGCTTCTACCATCTCCATTAACAAGTCTAACGTTAAAGACTTAGCCCAGTCCGCCATGCGTCGCCCATACCCGGCCTTTACAACTACACCATCTAGCCATTTGGCTGCCTTACCCTCGAGGTACGATGCAGCGGTAACCACTTCGTCCTCCAGCAAGGTCTTCTTGGCCTTCACCCAAACCGGGACTGTCCTCAACCAAGTGTTGAGCTGTTCATCCTTTCTCTCGCCTGAGAAGGCAAGAGGCGGTTTCATTGGGGTCTTGGGATACCATTGACCTTGGGGCTGTCCCTGTTGAGGAACAGGTTGTTGCGGTGGTGTAGCTCCCACCGCTGAACCCGAAGAAGAAGATGCAACAGTCTGTGCAACTGCTGCAGACGTACCACTTGGCTGTATACCAGCTTGAACTGGAAAGGTGCCTGACATCGCCGATAACGTCAACGACGATTGTACTGATGGCCTGAATCCTGGCCTTGTCAATACATCCACGATCTGGTCTAGAGTGCTCTGCATGAAGTCTAATCTGCTGTCCACGTGCGCGTGCAATGACAACATATTCTTCTTTAATATTTTCATTTGGTCAGACAATGCTGACTCATCCAAGCCCTCTAACTCAGCCTTGTCAGCCTCTAAAGTATCAAGCCTGACTGTTTTATTTTTTATCTCTCTTTCTCTATCGGTAGCTTTCTTCAGGTCCCTCTCTAACTGTTCACAAATCTTTTCGACCTGCTGGAGCTCCCCGATCTCCCGTTCGCCAGGAGTCAACGGGCTGAACTACGCGCCTGCCATTTGACTTGTAGACTGCCGAGAACCTCGAACTGGAAGTACCCGTGGACCCTGTTGGCATTCCCAACTGGGTCCCATTGGTCCCAGACAACGCTGCAGAGGATGATGCTGAACTAGTCATGGTTGCTACCCTGACTGCTGCTGCAGCCTGTTCCCTAGCTGCGGCGTTTGCTGTTTCCCTAGCTGCTTCTAGTGCATGGGCTCTGCGTTCGACACGAAGCCGTCTTTCGTCTTCCGGTTGTAAGGTCTGGAACACGTGCGGGATCCTACGTGATCTTGCACGTGTTAGTCTAGCATCGTCAACTCTCTCCTCGTCGACGTCTGACCCGTTCATCAATTGGGAAAACATTATCTGCACTAGAATCCCCTAGTGGAATCCTACCACAGAATATGTCTGACCGACACCTAATTTTCTAAAAATAGTTGTGTCCGGCAGGTTCCCTACAGTAGTGAACAAGTGGCATGTCTACAACATTCACACAGATTGTCTACATAGTCTAGATGTACTCTGATTGGTTCACTTGCAGCAGCATTAGACAGAACTGGCTATGGTAGCTTACAACAATCCTAATCTAATCAAAGATACAAAAAGACCATGTTGCAGATGTATGATGAGTGGGTATGGTTATGTATACAGTTGAGCACCAATTAGAACCTACCCTTCCCTCAATCCAACATACCGGTAAACATCATTGAGCGAGCAGTGTCTTCGTGTGTGTATCGGCCCATCCCTGTGCCCAAGTCG